CTGGTTTGCAGTATCCATATGCTTCTCACTTCTGATTCTTAGATACTTCGCTAAAATGCCTTTTCCCATTTTTCGATCAATTCCAAATTTATCGCGCTACGCTCTTATGCAGTCTTTCGTGTAGTCGTTGCTGTTTTTTTTTGAAGGAAGCAAAAGCATTGGCTTTTTTTACCCCTGCAAGTACTGTCATTGCAGACGCACTTTTTCAAGCAGCATGGTTGCAATACAACGGATGCTCAACAAAAATACAATAGTCGGGCGTCAAATCTTTATAAGGTGAGATTCAGTTTTTCCGAGAAAACTGGCACATCTGTTGCGTCTCTTTCGCCTCCTTTAGCTCACTTTATCGCCGTCATTCTTTACTGCGACGCTATTATTCTGTTGCTTCATTTATTTTTCTTTTTTCTTTGAAACAAGCTTCCCTAGCAATATTTCAGAATAAATTAGCTTCGTTGGCTGCAAAAGCTCACCAGCAGTATGGCACATCATTGATGGTGGACGGCAGTGAGCTGATGGCCGATGAAGAGGAAGAAGCAGTGTCCGAAGTGAATAAAAATGAGGAAGATTTTTTTTCGCAGAAATTTATTGCTCATCAAAGCAATTCCGCCACATCAATTAGCCAAGATGCTTTCATACGCAGCAGTGCCAGTGAGCCAGCAGTAGGTGAGTTTCTCGTTTTTCTTGTTTTTGTCAGTGCTGGGATGGAATGCTGTGCTGGCATAGCTGCGCCTTACGCATGGTTACGTCCTGGTGACCGACGTAGGCTGCTCAGGCATTCTGGTGAGCACTGAGGAATTACATGGTTAAGTAAGCAGTTGCTGGAATGCTTTTATGTTCAGGAATTAAAATTTAGCGCGGGCATGTACGGAGTGTGTATCTGAACCCAGGTTGACCCTGAAAGCCTAAATGACGAAGGTGTGATAGATTGCAGCATAAAAGAACAGTACAAGAAAAGAAGGTAAGAGAGTGAGATAAAACGTTTCGGTCCATTAAATCATATACGCTTCAACACCCCAGTTTAACGGTAGCGATTTTAGCGGTCTTGCTGAGCACTGCAGAGATGTTGTTAGTTTTTCTTTGGGAAAATAATTTTTTTGGCACGATTGTTAATAAGTTACTGTTATGTCCGAGAAACCGATTTTTTTTGACGCCGGAAAACCTTAGTAGTGTGTTACCATTGTTCCGATTGCTAGAAATTCATCAAT